TCCCTCACTGTCCCCTCTGCCCCCCCCCCAGCAAATGCTGCACTACGACCCCAACAAGCGGATCTCGGCCAAGTCAGCGCTCGGCCACCCCTTCTTCCGCGACGTCACCCGCACCGTCCCCTACCTGCGCCTGTGACACCCGCCGCCCGCGCTCAGCCCCGGGCAGGCGGGGGGGCAGCCGGGACCCCCCCGGGCCACACCGGGTGCCGAGCGGCTCCGGCGCCCTCCCGGACTCGAGGCGCTTTCGGCCCCGGGGGCTCCGGTCGCTCGTGCGGGGGGGCTCCTGCCCCTGCCCCCCCGGCTGTATTTATTGCCCTGTGTGGGGCTCGTGCTCGGCGCGGGGGCACGGGCCGGTCCCGGTGTTTGGCGGGGGGGCCGCGGGAGCGCCGAGCCGTCGGTACCGGGTGTTTGGAGCCGGGGGGGACACGGGACCCCCGGCCCCGGCCGTGCCTGTACGTCCCAAGCATTAAACGGGGCCCGTTCGTCGCCCGCAGCAGCTGGTGCCTGGGGGGGCCGGCGGGGGGGCACCTATACGTGGGGCGCGTACGTTCACCCCATGGGGGGAACGCTCCCGAGTGACGCCCGGGCCCCACATCCCTCCGCTGGCTCCATAGGTGCCCCGGGCTCTGCAGGGCCCCTGCACGCGCCCCACCACTGTGGGGCCCTATATCCCCCATAGGTGCCCTGCGGGGCCCTATAGGACCCCCCACGTGCCGTTCCCCGCTCCGACGTCCCCACCCTTRTAGAACCCCCCATGGGCCGTGGCCCCCGTGGCCGTTGCCGTGGGGCTCTGTATGTCCCGGTGGGCTATAGGGCCCCGCCATAGGCCCCCCATCCATGAGCTGTGGGCGGATGTGACCCCCCCATGTGTGTCCAGGAGCTATAGGGCTCCCCATAGGGGTATCTGCCTCCCACTGCCCCCCTCACGCCCTATAGGGCGCCATGAGCCCCGCCCCGGGCGGCCAGGCCCCGCCCCTCCCCTCATAGCCCCGCCCTTGCTCCCTATAGAGAGGTGTGGGACCTTGCCCCGCCCTCCGCCGCAGGCCACGCCCCGACCACGCCCTTCTGTGGTCACGCCCACAGGCGCTCTGGAGCGTTGCGATTGGTCAGCGGAGGCCCCGCCCCGCCGGGCCCCGCCCCCTCCCGCGGCACCGCCCGCTGAGGTAATTGGGAGAGGCGGCAAGGCGCGGTCAAGGGTCACGGCTCCCAGCGGCCCCCGCGCTCGCCGGGCCCGCCCTTCCGCCCTCTCGGGCTGTCAGTCACGGTCGGCGCCGCCGCTGATTGGCCGGCAGGGCGGCCGCGGGCGGGCCCGCGTTGGGCWCGGCCGCGTCACTCACCGCGACGCTGTGCTCGGGTTGGCTGCGCTGGGACCCTGCTGCGCTGTCATTGGTCGGCGGGGCAGCGTCCCGCGCCCTGATTGGCGGCTSTGGCGCAGGAGTCCGCCCTCTTAGGTCACCTTATTTGTTGTTGATGGRGGCCCCAGGGAGGCAGCGTTTCCCGTTGGCCGCCAGCCCCGTCAGTAACATCAATCCCCGCCCCTTTCGTGACGCTCCCGCTGATCATTGGCTGCTGGCAGCCCATCCGCTCCTCACCCCCATTGGCCGCGCGGCGCTGCCCGTCCGCCCCTCCGTAGCCGCCGATAGGCTGTCCCTCCCAGGGCCGGAGCCCCGGCGGGCGCCATGACACTGCGATTGGGCCGCAGGAGGGCAGGGGGCGGGCCTTCCGCCGGGCTGCCCGCCGCCCATTGGCTGCGCGGCGCCTTAG